TGTAATCCTGAGTTATCCACTGCAACAAATGTAAGTTTTTAAATTATTATTATTATTATTATTATTATTATTATTATTATCATCATCATTATTTTATTTTTATTTTTAACAGATGATGAAAATCAGTCGTGTGAATAGAGAACTTCAATCACCAAAAACATTCAAGGACTTTCAAGGACAAGTATAATTTTTGGCTGTTTTCACAAACTTTCCAGGTCCTTGAAATTATTTTGTCAAATTCACAAACTTTCAAGGATTTCAAGGACCCGTGGGAACCCTGTTTGACTTTTCTATCCAAAGTCTTACGTCAAAAGTAGCAGGACAGCTACGCTTGGCGGCGAGGCGGTTGCTGTTGTTGGTGTTCAGGTTGGCTAAACCCAGCTGGCTCTCCTCGGTCCTCTCAGCCTCCTCCTCAGCTTTCCTCCCATCTGAACCTCCTGGAGTCTGAGCCAAGGCCGCCATCTCCGCCTCCTCTTTCTTGGCCTCCTCCTCATCCTCCTCTTCCAAAGTGCTGAACTCCAGCCTCAGCCTCATGTCCTCCATGGGGTCGAGGCGTCCGCAGGTCTGAGCCGCCGTGCCCTCTCCGGGCAGGGCTAAGTGGGCCATGGGGAAGCCCTCGTCCTCCAGCAGGGCATCTCTCTCCACGTCTTCGATCTCGATGAAAACCCGCTCCATGCCCAGGAGCGGAGGCCCCCGCACCGGGGTGGACGGCTCACTGTCCAGCGCAGAGTCTGACAAACGTCTGAAGTAGTAGTTGTAGTTCAGAGAGTCCAGGGGTTCCATCACCAGACCCCTGCAGGGAGACGCCCCACAGCCTTCCCAGGCCTCCTCGTCCCTGAGCACCGGCGTCTCCTCCCCGCCGGTGCAGTGACCACAAGCCTGCAGATCATCGGATCCCTCCTCATCAGCGCCAGGCCTCCATAGCTTGTTGTGACGCTGTTTACTGCAAAATGTAAAAATCAGACGTTAAAATGGAAATATGCTTTAAAATCCTTCTTTTTCACATTTAAATCGTTGGGGTCTAGATCAGAGATTCTTAACCTAAAAGTTCAAAACATTATCAAATACAGTTGCAGATACAACTATATGTTAATTTGCACTTCATCAA